ATTAGTCAGGGAACTTTGTTTGGTTGCTATGGTGACCTTCACTACAAGGGTCTGACTAAAGCGCAAAGAATCTGTTACCTAAAACCATTGCCTGACGCCATGGCTTTAGGAAGGACGCTTATCAGTGACCTGTTCCCCTTGACCCCATATCCGTGCCCCTCCCTGGCCAGTCGCCCAGCTGCCTCCCCCACCCCAAATTAGAAGAAAGGCATCTCCAGGGATGGCAGGAGCTTCTCACATTCCAAACAGGGACACTGCTGCCCCCTGAAGGCCTGGGCCTCCTGGCTGGTGGTCAGGGACAGCCTGGCCAGCACATGTGTCCAGGGCTTAGTCGGAAGCCCATAGGATTTCAGGAAGCCGCCCCGGGTGTCTGGTTCCCATCGTGCCAGGTTCACACTGTCCCTGAGGGGCCATCAGTCTCTGCCTCGTCACGTTCCTGCCTTTTTAAACCTGAGCTCTACTAACTAAAGGTCATCCCGCAGCATGGAAATAAAGATCCTCTTTGCTTCGCTTTCTAATCCCTGAATTCTGAAGGATTTTCTAAAGTTCGACTCTACGAAAGCTAGGTTTTGCTCTGGGAGGTTGACGCTGGCTGTAAGGGAGGGGTGACATTACAACGCTCTTCCCAGAGCTGGCCTCCTGGGAAGGACCCACAGGGCACCACCTCCTTACTCCAACTCCTGGTCCCTGCACCCACTGCTGCCCTCAGGTCCCAGATACCAGTGTGACTCTGTGGGCAGCCCCTCGACCCTCCACACTGCCACCTCAGGCACGGCTGTCCATCAGCTACATGACCTCCTTTAGTTTGAGTCTCAAAGCAGACCCCAGGAAGCCAGGACCGATGTTGACTGACTTTTCAAAATCAAGTTGCTGCAGGTGGCATGGGCAAGTGACAGAGCTAACTCAAGGGCAGGGACCTCATTATGGCTCTCACACGAGGATAATCTCTAGTGGACGGGGGTCCATCTACCCACTGGCTTCCTCCCCTGCACCAGGCTTCTCTCAAACAATGACGGGCAAAGCGCCCATGCCAACACTGGCCTGCCACTTCTCCCCTCCCTGGGGCAGGCTCTGGCACCTGCTGCTCTGATGGTTGCTGCAGGAAAGACAAGTTCTAGGAGGCGTCAACCCCCAGACAGCTGTGTCTGTGTTTGGTAGAAGAGAGACCACCATAGGCTTGTGAATGTCCCCTGAAAACAGAGTTTGTTGGCAACAGTGAGGTCAGGGCTGAGGAGGTTTGGTTCATGTTGTTTTGCCGAGTGATATTTTACTGGACCAGTTGTTTAATTAACTATCTTGGCAACAGCTGGAGCCACTGTGCTTGTTCCCAGTGCAGGGAGCAGCTGGAGGAGCAGGACTCGGTGTCAATCCAGGAGCAATGACATTTTGCAGAGATCCCTGACCCGTAATGGACTCAATGACATTTCCTGCTAATCCCTGGGTTTCTGTACTCTGGGGTTTCTGCTGTGAGGAACAGAATGACTTATTTGCAAAGTGACATGGTCATTACCTTATGGTCACTCAACAGAGGTGGAAGGAAGGCAGCTTCCCCAGCCACACATATACACGTGTACATATATTTAAAACACATATATATATGTATTTTTTTTTAATGGAAGAGGTTTATTCTCTCACAGTTCTGGAGGCCGGAAAGCCCTATATATTTTTTTCCAGTTAGAGTTTTTTCTCCAGTGCTGGGGATGGAACCCAGGGCCTCACACATGACAAAGCAAGCACTCACTCTACCACTGAGCTACACCTCAGCCTATTTTGTACCCTTTAAGGACTGGCTCAGATGAAAACAGAGCTCCTCCTGGTCTGGCAGAGGAGGGGCTCAGAGTGGCTCAAGATAAAAACGGCTTCTCCTCCCCTGCTGACCCCTGAGCAGATGGGCAGAGGCGGGGTGCAACTCGGGGGCGGCCCTGCAGCACGCTGCTCTGCACACTACAGGGAACGAAAGGGGATGCAGGGTCTCGGCCCCCTGAGTTCCTGATGCCCCTGAGTCAGTCACAGTGTGTCCTCTGTATGGGTGAGTTGTTCCCACGGCAGAGGCTGCCCCCTTAAGGCTCCCGCCTGCACAAGCGGGGACACTGCTGGGGGTGCGGGGAAGCCCAGGATTCAGGCTGCACACTGACAGCAGCCATCTGTCTGCACCAGAGCTCCTCCACCTTTCTGTGGCAAGGCCCCTCTAAGAATCTGATGAAATCCATCTCCCCACATGCACGCAAGCACAGCCCTCACTCATGTCCCCAGGAAGCAGCAAGCTCAAGGCCAGGACCCTGTGCCCATGAAGACACACTCAGAGTGAGGGGGCGTGTCCTGGTGGGGTGGGAGGAAGGTGGTGAAGAATGCAGCTGGGGAAGGGCAGCAGCGGGGCTCCCACCCTGCCCTGAGGAAGCCGAGCCTTCCCAGCCCAACCCAGAGCCCAGGAAAGTGGAGGAGGTGGTGCCTGCAGGAGGCACCAGCCCGAGGTGGGCCAGGGACGCTGAGGATGGGCAGAGGGATGGTCCCCACACTGAGAGACCCCATGCACAGCTGCACCTCACACAGCTTGGACTTCAGACTTTCAACCCGGGGAGGTGGTCACGTGACGGGGAGGGGGTGCCTGCTGGAGCACTCAATTCAGAAGTTAGGAAGACACACTGAGCCACCTGCCCACCTGCAGCTGGAATGGAAAGGCCTCCTTTGCTGGAACTAGGGTGCAAGGCAGGCCTCCTGGGCCAGCTCTGAGTCTTCCTGAAGCCCTGTCAGAGAGCTGTCTGCTTCATATTCTCAGTTTCCGTGTGAGATTCACTTGGAAAAGGACTTGCTGATAAAATACTGTTTGCCTTGAGCCTTGCCTGGCATCTGTGGTGCACACGGCCCAGCCCCAGGGGTTGCTGAGGAGTCTCTTCCCCTTTCTCACCCTAAGATTCTGTTTTTTTTTGTTTTGTTTGTTTTGTTTTGTTTTTGTTTTTATACTGGGTATTGAACCCAGGGCCTTGAACAAGCTAGGCAAGCAAGCACTCTGCCCCTGAGCTATGCCCTCAGCTCTTTTAATTTTATTTTGAGAGAGAGTCTTGTTAAGTTGCCAAGGCTGGCCTTGAACTTGTGATCCTCCTGCCCCAGCCTCCTGAGCTGCTGGGATTACAGGTGTGTGCCACCACGCTGCCTCCACCCCCCACCCCCCAAGAGGATTCTAAATCTTCTTAGCCATTTCTGTCTCCACTGAGGCCTAACTGACAAGAGTGAATGCACACACAGACATACACATGCTAGTGCAGGTACACACAGGCACAGGCACACGGATCACATGCACACTAGCCACAGTGAGTCAGGGCCTGGTAGACGGGTGTGAGGATGGAGTTGGAAAGAGAAAGGTAGCAGCACTAGGATTGGAGAAACTTTGTCTTTGTGTATTTTCATTATAAATAAATTTTAAAAAACCCATAAATGTTATCAGCCTGTATTGCTGTATAATATTTGCCATTAACTGAGATAAGGTATCTAATCCCTTGTCCAAACGGATTTATCTGGGTTTTAGAATCCCCTAAGTGACCTGCCTTATAAAGTGACGTGATCAGAATTTTACCAGTTTCTCAAAAGCTGGGTCAAGGCTCAGACTCAGGGCCATCCCTTAAACACAAGGATGGGCCTTTGTTGAGATGGCCACATGCTCTACTCACACCTGTGAGCAGCTGGGACCCACCTGGGTCCTGCAGGCGGGGGTCCATCTGGATGAGGGTAGGCAGAGCAAGACTCCAGGATCCTGAGACTGCAGAGCAGGCTAAGTGGCAAGGCACTGACAGCCCTGGGCCTCACTCATGGTGGGCCCCTCTTTGCAAGGCCTACTGTGATGCTTGGCTCGGGTACCACTCTTTAGAGGCCTTGGTGAGGAGGACCCCATCCACAGCAGTCCTCAGCACCCTGGCAGAGGCCACAAGTGAAATCACCTGCAGTGTTCTCTGAAGGAGGCCAGGGATGCTGGAAAGGCCAAGCATGACCCCTGTGGTCAGCCCTGTTTCTGATAGGACAGAGGTGGAAGCCCAGGTCTCCCTGTGAGGAGAACCTCCCAGGCTGGGACACTGCGTTTTCCCTTATCACCCATCACCACTGAAGTACCCAAGGATTCCACTGATTTTCCCTAATTCTCCATAACATTGCCAATTCTCGTTGATACTGCCAGCATGAGTCACAGTGACCAGGGTGACCAGGACCCCAGCTTCCTCCTGGCTGTCTACAGTGGGACAGCTTCAGGTTGGTTCTAAATGGCCTTCCTTCAGTCCCCAAGGTGGAACAGGGTGGGAGTCAGGGAGCTCAGGGGCCCCTCATTCTGGGATTATAGGATTCAGAGAAACAAAGACTATTATACCCTGTGTCACCTGTCCCTGAGGGGAAGAAGGCAGAAATCAAAAGATGTCTTCCCCCTGGTTTCCTCCCACAGAGCAGCCAGGCTCCTGCCTCAGCTGAGTGGCTTTTGTTCCCATGTTCTGGTTTGGTGGCAGCAGTTCCTGTGTTATAGGTGAGGGTAGGAAGAACTAGTCCTGCCCCACCCACCACTGCCTGGGCCAAGTGAATGGCTGGTGGAATGGCTGCTTGGAGGCAGGGGAATGGCTCCTTTGGCCTCTGCCAGCTCTGCCAGTGATAGAATCCCATCCTTGGCTGGTTGTATGAGGGTCATGATTAAGTCACATGCCCCGAGGATGCTCATGCAGAGTGGGGCGGGCGGAAGCACCTGAGCGGTACACCTGCAGTCCAACGCGCCACACCCTCTTCTGCATGTCCACGGTCCCTGCCCCCCAAAGTTGAGCAGCAGCACAGGCTCACTAGTCCCTGTGTGGCACCCCAGTACAGAGCCCTGGGGTCACTGACCGCCCTACACCCTGTCTCCACCTGGGAGCATGCATGCAATAGGAGCTTACTCCATGTGCGTGGCTGGCAATAAGGATATGTGTGTGTGCACAGGTGCCTTTGCCAGTGGCCAGTCACCCCCCACCAGACAGGGTCCCCAGGGAACTCACTTGAAGTTCTCAGGGTACTCGGTGATGGCCATGTTGATGACATCCAGGGCATGCTGGTGGTGCTTCTGGGCGGAGAAGAGCAGTGCCAGCAGGTGGAGTGCGTTGGCATCGTCCCTGCACACCAGCAGCGCCTCCTGCAGCTGCTCCATGGCACTAGAGATCTGCCAAAGCAAATGGCCAGCTTAGGGACCTTCCCCAAGGCTCTGGGGGCCAGGTGTCAGCCAAGAAGTGAGCGAGCCCTGGGCCTTGGGGGATGGGGATTGTACAACAAGAAAACACGTCCCCCAGATAGCCCATCAAGGAGGGACCTGCTGTCCCTGTGGGGAGTAGAGGGCAGCAGGTTCATGGTGCAGCATGAAGGATTTTGGTAGACACTGGGAAGCACTTCCTAAATGGAAGTGTGGAAGTTCTAGGAAGAGGCAGCCTGATCAGGTGCAGAAGCCCTTTCCTAGAGCTCTGACAACGGGGTTCAACCGATGGAAACGGGGTTCTCAGCATAAAGCGATAGAAAGGGGGTGTTCCAGGCAGGAGAAAAGCTGACCTAAGGCAAGGATGCAGCTGAGGTTAGTGGGAGAAGAGAGGGAGACTGCTTTCTAATGCGGGCATTGGGGGGGCCTAGCCAGATTCTAGTCTTGTGTTTTGTTTTACGACTCAATAAATGATTATCAAGCCTGGTTCTATACAGAAGTAAGACTGGAGGAGGCCAGATCATGAAGGTGAAGAAAGTCACGTGGAGGGTCTGGGAAGCCCCTTGCAGATGCCCCCAGGAATGCTGTGAACTCTGCCCATGGTCTTCTGGAAGACAGTGGAGACACCCAGGGCCACATGATTCCCATGATTTGCTTCTCGGAGCTCTATGTGAAAGAGGCCAGGCCCTGGTGGCTCTGGGAGGCCTATTGGTGAGGAGAGGCAGGTACAGCGGGGAAGGGCAACTTCTACTGTCCTATCTGAGTGGGACCCTAACACCCTACCAGATCTAGCTGCTGAGGGACTCATGATTTGCAGCTGTGGTCATGCCCCATCTGCAAGTAGCAACAGGGTCGTGGGGTTAACTTCCTAGCACACCCAAAGGGAGACTGTGCAGGGCTAAGACCATATGCCTGCCTGCCACTGCCTTGCCAGGATGGATCCCTGCTTCTAGCTGGCCTTGGGGAGGATGTGGTTGGATCCGGGAACTCCCCTCTCCTGAAGAAATCATTCTCAGTACAACACTCCCCAGGTCGGTTCCAAGGTTCATCTGCAGGCTCATCTCCTGCATCCCATTCCACCTCTTAGTATCTGCACCCATCTGCTGCTCAGTCAGGGAGCAAAGCTCCTCCCAACCCCCACCCACATGCCAGGCCTGTACACCCTTGGCAGGGGCTGGGCAAAGTTTCCACAAACATCAAGGAGTAAAAAGAATTCTGGCAGTCACCAATGTAAACAGTCTTCTTCAAAAGATGCCCATCATCCTGGTGCCTGCGGCAGCTCTCGAACAATTTCATGTGACCTGCTCCCCTTACACCATCTCCTCCTTCTTAGCAAACACATGCGAGCCTACTGCTCCAGTCCTGGCTGGGGCAGTGCCATCTGAATCCACTGATCACGCTCTTTTGGGCTTGTTGGTGTGTTGCAGAAAGAGCAGTATTTGTGAATTTGGGGGGAAAAAATGGTTCTAGCCATATCCTGGAGCTCCAGTCTCTCTGAATTCAGTTTCCTTATCTGCAAGTTAGGCACATGCCTTACTTCAGAAAGGTTAAATGAACTAACTCTGCAAATGAAAATGCATGTTTATCTTCCATCCCTTGATCTTTTCAAATGTCCTCACCCTAAGAGGTCCAGCCCTGTGGAGCTATTTAGCAACAGAGCAGGGCCTCCAACAAGCTGCTAAAGCCCCTGCTGGGTGAGCCAAAGGCCCACACTCAGCTCTTCCCAGGTCAAGGCCAGCCAGATGGACCAGGGTTGTGGCAGGCGTCCAGCTAACTACTATGTCCTCCTCACCTCCCAAATGTCGGTACCTCCATCCTGGCCCAGTTCCCCAGGACACACAAACCTCCTCTACCCTCCCTCCAACTGCTGCTTCATCCAGTTGCAACTCTTAGCATGAGGCTCTGTTACCCCCTTGATCACTGTGGCTACCACTTTGGCTTGTCTGTGCCTCCCCAAGGCTGTTCCTGCCAAGGTAATTCTGCCACAACACACCCCATTACTCTGGGCTAGGCACCCATGTCCCTAAACATCACTGTTGGAGCAGGAAGACATGCTCTGGGCAGGATGGGACGGCTCTAAGCCTCAGAGAATCAGGCGGGTAAGGGCTCTGGCTTAGAGTCCATTCAGAGGCCCTCAAACCCCTGAGGCTGATGAGACCCGGAGTCCCCAGGGAAACTAGGCACCAGGCCGCAATGGCCTGGCTGGCCATCTCTCTTGAAGGATGGGCCCTATTCATCTGAGATGAGTGAATAATTAAAGAGATTAAAAAATGCATCACCAAAGGTTTATCATTAACTTGATTGGCAAGAAAAGCACCAGGTTCTTTTACAGAAGGCTAAAAATAAAGCAGTCTCAGGTATCTTTCCATCTGTGTTCCTGGGAAGAGAGTGATGCTCTTGGAGACAGACACAGAAGGACCCAGTGCCTGGTTCAAGGCCTGGAAGTCAGGAGCGTGGGCACAGCGTGGAGGTGGAGGAGGGACGGGGTGAGTCACGGGGGAGGGGATAAAAGAGGAAGCGAGAAAAGCAGCGGAGGACAGCAGGAACGACGGCAGGGCCGAGGGGAGAAAATGGTTGAGACAGAAGGACAGAGAGAGGGAGACAGAAGGACTCAGAGTGACAGTGACAGGTCACTGGACCCAAGAAAAGGGTCCAGGCATGGGGTGAGAAGGAAGAGATTCCAATAATGAGAACCACCATGCAGTGACAAGAGGAGCCAGGCCAACACATGTTCCAGGGGAGGGTGATGCAGGCAGACAGTACAGAACCCCACCACCCTGGAGTAGGAGAAAAAGCCCACTCAACTACCGATGTCCAGGCACGACAGCAAGACCAGCCTCCTGGCCAGGAATGAGGTGCCATGCCCATCCCTGGATGGACCACGGTTTTCTTAACTGGGGCAGGGAGAGCTTTGTACTGGAGAACCGAGTCCAGCGCTCCAGCAGTCTGGAGCTCAGCCTGCTTCCCGGAGGCACAGGAGACGAGAGCTGTTGGAAAACGGGCTTGTCTGCGGTGCCTGAGCAGTCAGTGGGTGTCACAGTCCACATGCAGTAGGCCAAGGCCACCAGAGAGGTCCTGCTTTGGAGGCCACATGTGTTCCCAGAGCACCAGTCTGTAGTGTGTGTGAGGCAAGGGAGATTCTCCAGGGCTTGGGATGGGGACGTGCCTAGATAGCCAGTGTCCTCTTGACAGCTCACAGCTCAGCTGCTAGCTTGGGGAAAGGTAGGTCCACCTGAAGAGCTGCAGGTGGTGGCCGTGCTCCCAGCATGGTGAAGGCAGTTGGCTGACAGGAGGCCCCTAAGGGTCCCAGAAGCCAAGGCCGAGGCTCAGGGAAAGGCTTTGGGTAACATAGAAAGCCCATCCGGAAACTGCTCCAGGTGCCACATTCCCCCAGACTCTCAGGGAAAGGTTGGTGGGAGGCAGGACACAAGCAAATGCTGTTGTGATCACTCATCACCTCAGAAGACTGAAATGTTGTAAGGTAAGTGAGGGCAAGAGATGCTCCCTTCCTCTCTGCTCCCCATGGGCCAGGGCTGTACCCCATTAACTGACTTCATCCTCACTAGGACTCTCCAAGGAGGGGCACAAAGGTGCTCACAACAGATAAGAACACAGAGGCTTAAAGAGGCCCAGTCACTTGCAGAGGGTCACACAGCTAGTAAGCAGAATGGCCAGGAAGGGATCAGCACCCCCCAGGGATCTGGGGCCTAGGAACTGTGACAACCCACCTGTCGGACGAGGGCCAGCTGCAGGGAGACATAAAGGATGACCTGGGGGTCACTAGGTGCCAGCTCCAGGGCTCTGTATGGGGAGAGGAAGTGACAAGTCAGTCATCAATGATTGAGCAATAGCATATGAGCCGGACCCCAGCTTGCCAACCCTAAGCCGGGCGCTGTGGGCCAACACAGTGGGGATGGGGGATTCGGCCAGGCCCTGTCTTGGAGGCACATCCAGTCGGAAGATGATGGCTTAGGCAGAAGTCCCCAAAGCAGGGACAGCTGCTCTGGAGGGCTGGCACTAGCTGAGGTAGGGACCATCTGCAATGTGGCCCTGAGGTGACAGACCTGAGTGAACAGAGGGAGGGGAGAGAGTGTGTATATCCATACCCAGCAGCCTGGCCTTCGCCTCTGAGCATCTGTCAGCTGGCCAGAGCCTCCCACCTCTCTTCAGAAGGACAGAGGCTCCCTGAGGGTGGAGGACCTAGAATGGCCTCTCTGGCAAGAATGAAGAGCTGGTGGGGAAGAGTCTCCCATTCCTGGAGCTCCAGAACCCCCTGGAGCTGCATCCCTGGGTAGGGGTACAATCTGCCCAGAGGGGGACAGATGTTCCAACAAAGCTGGCAAGTGGAGGCCCAGCAGGGCCCTAGCCAACAACACAGCCACCTCAGTGCTCAGGAGGGAGCAGGATACACAGAGGCTCAGAGGGAGAAGATGCAGGAGAGGGCAGAGGAAGGAGGGAGGAGGGAGACAGGTGGGTGGGACTGTGGTGCAGAGGAGGGGCTGGGCAAGGGTGGGCCTGAGGCAGCAGAGCTCCTGGGAGAGGGTCGTCTCTGTCCCCTGACCCCAGGCTGCTAGGAAATCTCTGCGAGGGCTGCGGGAAGGTGGGAGGTCCTCACAGACGTGAGGTGGCTGGGAGAGCCTGAAAGGAGACGATCACCATTCCTGACTCCCTGATAAAGGTAGGAGATGGCAACCAGATGCACTTCCTGCTTCATCTCGTGTAACTGTCACCCAGCAGTGTGCTATTATTCCATTTTAGAGCCCCGAGCCCCAGGGGCTGAGCCTAGTAGCTGCCATAGTCCCAGCTTCTAGCTGACCCCGGGGCTCTACCAGCACTGAAGGCCAGAGGCCTGGAGCTGAGGGCAGGGCTCGCTGCGTACCCAACCCCCCATGGCCTGACCCTGCTTGCTGTGTCACCTCCCAGAGTTTTAGTTTCTTCATCCATAAAGTGGAAATAGAAACCTCCATTTCATAAGGGTGAACACCTCAGAGGTAAACATGGAGGGGAAGAATACCCCAAAGGGCCCCTGGGGCCAGCGGACATCTCCTCACCTCTCCAGCGTCTGCAGTGCCTTCCGGTGCAATTCATCTTTTTTGGACTTCAGGGTGGCTGTAGGAGACAGATGGATTCTGAGACATCAGGGGCCTCGAAGGCCAGCAGCCCTGATGATGCTCTCTGCTGCCCTGGCCTCCTAGCACATTTCTTGGCACACAGGTTCCTTCTACTCCATTGGCTTCTCTGCCCCCTGGACCAACTTGACTCTCAAAAGCCTTGAGAAAGGTCACTGCCTGTGGTGGGCTTCCCTGTCCACCACGCTGCTGACGGAACCCCAAGCTGAGCACCTTTCTGGTGAACTGCATCCAACTTTACACACAGCAGGGCAGGTGTCCTGAGCCTTGGTGTGGTGTGAGCATGACTGTGTGCAGGCCCCACCCCAGGGTCTGCACTGAGAGCCAGCAGAGCTCCTCACCTTGAAAGCTTCAGGAACAGTCCCTACCAGGACAGGGTCGAAGGCTAGGAGGCTCTTTTATCAAAGCCTACTGTGACCAAGGGACTGAGGAATCCCTCTAGACCATGCGGGGGGCACAGAGGCCTGAAGACATTGCAGCCACATGCCTTGAGCAGTAGGAGCTGGCTCTGCACTAGGCTCTCGTAGGCAGCTTCTTCTCTTCTTTGGACAAGCCAGGCTGCGCAGGGCCTCTGAGGTCAAGTGTGCACAGCCCTGTTCCCACAGCCTGGCACTAGGGAGAGGTGGGTGAAGGTAGATCCCAGTCCAGGTTAGGCCTGGGGAGGGGTCTGTTACTCCCTTCCCTTCATGCTGCAAGAACAGGAGGGTAGCTGCCTGATCAATGGGGGAAAGTTGGCACTAGGGAGAGAGCACCAGGCCTGGGCAGGAAGGAGTGGAACCTATCAACTAAGCACGAGTACTTATGAAGCACCTGATGTATGCCTGGCACCATGCCATATGTGATGGGGGATTTAAAAGACCTCAGAAGATCACAGCAGTCTGTGAGAACCAGAATGAAGGCACCGTGGGGCGGAGGGCTGATACCGGGCACCACAGATAGAAAGTACCAGAAGCTCCACGGAGATCAGACTGGGCTTTGTTGGAGCTGGGGCAGGGCCTAAAAGGTGGGAAGAACTGGAGTGTGGGAAGAGCTGGGTATGAAGGTGGTCTGAACCAAAGAGTGGAAATGGAACTGAGAGGTGTGTATCTGTGCACGTGTGTGTGTGCGCATGTGCGTGTGCCACGCAGAAGAATGTGAATAGTGTCTGTGGGGAGTGGTGCAGTGAGGGTACTGGTGGGATAAGACACCTTGGAGGCAGTTAGGAAGCCTGAGATGTCCTCTCACAGGGCCTGGCACTCACCGTCAGTGGCCTGCAGGCTGTAGGTGAGACCCAGGGCCAGGTAGCCCTTGGGGAGGAAATCCCCAGCTTCCTCACCGAGGCTGACCACCACCTTGGCAAAGTGCTCGGCCTCCTCCAGCTGTGGAGAGGAGAGGTAGAGTCAGGGGAGGGCTCTGGACATGACAGGCAACACACAGTCACAAGCCTGGGACGCTGCTGTGCAGACGAGAACAGCGATTCCTCACATATGGGCCCCATGACTAGAGATCAGGAGGCTTGTCCAGGCCACACAAGCATTGAGCAGAAGAACTGGCGGTTTCCTTTACTGGAGAGTGACTCTCTGGACCTGTTCCCCCTCCAAGGGGGCTTGTGCTCAAGGTCACAGGATGCCATCTCTCCCTGGGAGAAGCTTCCCTTGCCCCAGAGATCTGGCTCCCCAAAGCTTGCTCTGCCAGGAGCAGGAACCCAAGGCAGGCCCGTCAGTGCTGCTTCCTTGCCTGTGTGGCCTCTGCGCCTGCCCTGCTCTGCAGACACAGGGGAGCCAGGGCTAGGCATGCTGGACATGCAGCCCCACAGGGCAGGCAGGCTGCCACTCCGGCTCAGTCCAGGGCCTGCTCCATCCCTGAGCAGTGGAAAAAGGCCTAGGGCTGTTTTTGTCCCTCACACAGCAGGGGGACTGTTCAAGTTGGAAAAGGACCAACTAGCAGGGGTCACACATGCACAGACCATCACATACCCATAGATGAAGAGAGAGTCCATGAGACAGGCCTCATGGACACCCTGGGGCACCCACCACAGAGGCTGAGGTGGCAGGGCACATCACAGCCAGGGGCTACCGCATGCCCACTCTTGCCCACACGCCTCCAAGAAACACTTCCTCGCTCCCACAGCGGCATGTCTGTGTTCCCATCTCTGAGAAAATGAGCTTCCAGAGAGGGCAGAGATGCTCCCTCCGTCCCTGAGATTCATGCCAGCCCACAGCAAGGGGCAGAACATATCACACCCAAGCCCTCTAGTGCCACCCACGTCAACATCCCCTGACCATAGGTGTCTCCCCCAGCCAGGGGCTCGCAAAGTCAGCCAACTGGGAGACCAGACTCACACTTAAGCTGCTTTTGGCACCACAGCCAGAGCTGCCCCTGCCCTGTCCCTGCTTAGGTCCAGCCCCAGCAGAAGAGAGGCAGCTCTGTGTCCTGTGGCTTAACCACTGGCCACATCTAGTGGAGTCTCTGTCCCTAGAGTTTGGAATTAGGATCCTGAGACAGAAACCATTAGCCACGGAGAGATGAGTTGGGCACAGTTTTGGTAAGCTCTGTGCAAAACTAAAAATCAAAACCAAAGTAAAACAAACACCCCTGAAGGAGCAGAGGGACCATTGTGCAGAAAGGAAGGAGATAAAATTCACAAGGCTGCCATGTACCATGTTCCTACATGGCCGATGCTATTGTGATTTCTACTGCCACCCCACAAAACAGGCTTTCTGCATGTGCAGTCACTGCAGTGCTTATAAAGGAAAATATTATTATTAATTCTATTAAAACAAACAATATACAATTCAACAGCACACCGAATCTGTAGGTGCTCTAACTAGCTAGCCAAAGAGTAGAATGCTGTCGCAGCAAGAACTAAAAATGAAATGCTTTATAACACTTAAGTCCCTTCAACTAGCAAGAGTGGGGTCCTGAATCCCTGGACGCTGACTCTGCCAACCTTCGCTCTGTCCTGCTAGAATTACGCTCAACCCCAAGCCAGCTCACTCGCCAATTAACTTTCTGCAAAGAGGCAGGGCAGCCCGGTGACAAGGACAAAGCAGTGGGGCCATGCTGTTGGGACTTGAGTCGTGGTTTGGTCACTTGCTCTTGCTGTGCCTCAGTTCCCCGCTTCTGTATAATGAAGATAACAGCAGTGTCACTCAGGGGGCTGCTGGGAGGACCGAATGGGTCACATGGTAATGCTCAGGGCAGTATGTGACCAGATAGCAAATACAATTTTGTAGTAAGCATTCATTTGCCTATCTATCTATTTATCTATCTATCTATTTACTGATTGTGTGTATGTGTGATATTAAACCCAGCGCCTCATACATGCTAGGCTGCTCTACTATGGGCTACATTCCCAAACCAGTATTATTTACACACAAACACACACACACACAAAATATGAATACAACTATGCATTCATGTATATATGTATATATGTGTATATATATATGTGTGTGTGTGTGTATATATATATATATAGATATATATATATTTTGTACATACACATGATCTCACTGACAAATTAGGAAGTGGCATCAAAGGCCCTCTAGAATCCAGAGAGGGGACATTACAGTCTCTTGGCCTGACCCTTAGTTCGGAGGAGTGACCACACAAGGATAAGCTGGTGACTCTGAAGCCCTGCTCAGTCTGCTCTGCCAGGTTGTTCAAGTTCTCTGACCCCACCCTGGTCCAGGACACACATTCCATAATCAGTAGACCCAGTCATTGTCACAAAATTCACTCCCTCCGTGGATTATGCACTGGAATATTTCCCATCCTATCCTGGGAGTCTATTTTAATTTTTTAAGTGTTCTAGCCCACAGCCCATGAACAGGTCTCCCCACCTGTGCGGTCTGCAAATGCTGTTCTAACCCGACAGTGTGAGCTGCCAGGTGCCTGAGCTTCTGCCACCTGCCCTGGTCTTCTCTGCTTGGTGCCTCAGGTGTACTTCCCAAACTCCAGACACTTCCTCCCCCAGCCTCCAAAGTTAACAACTGTCAGCTCTGTGGGGAACACTGCTTCTGCGACAGCTCAGGCGTGGCTCTGGGTCCTGCCTGCTGGTCATGATACTTCCCGGTGAGGAGTCTCCAGTGTTCCTGCCAACCTTCCTCCCCCATGATGCAATGCTCTTGTACCCAGGGCAGACACATAACCTTGTCAAAAAAAACCCTTGAGAAGGTCCTGTGGGTCTACGGAGACCGAACCCCCCACCCCCACCCTGCAATGTCACAGCACCATGGCTACCTGTTGGAACAGCTGGAGGTTCTGAGGCACAGGGAGCCCGCATGACATAGGCACGGAAAGAGCCTAGGTCATGCAGGACCCCTGACCTCGGCTGCCTTCTGTAGCTTTTTATTTTTCTCCTGACACTTTAGAAAAAAGAATGAACTGAAGGGTATAATGCTTTGATACTCTGCTTTCATGAGTAAAGGAAAGGTTCCCTGCAATCTTGCAAGTTCTCCTCTCTCCAGCGCTCCTTGCTGACCGCCTTGCTCTTCCTGGGCTGACTTCTCTCTGCAGCAGGCCAAAGAGGTTTCACCCTGGGAGTCTCCCCTCTTCCTGGGGACTAGACAAAGCCCATTTCTGGGCCTGCGGGGCTCTGTTTAAAGAGACCTCCAGTTTCTTCTTAGTTCCTTCCCACAGGACCCGGAGCCTACTGGTCACTGCTCTGTGGAAAACCCACTTTTTCCTTCCTGGGAGGAGAAGACACTTTCTCATTTCTAAAAGGTGGTGGCAGGAGAGCTGGTGCTCGCTTCTCCCTGCCTCGTCAACACTTAATCCGTCTTCCTGGCTCTGCCCACCCCTAAATTTGAAAAATGAAGGCAAAAATGTAAAGGTGCATCCTTTCTGAGTGCCTGCTCTTGAAGGGGCTAGAACAGCCATGCTGAGCATTTACCAGGGACCAGCAGCGTGAGGCAGGGGCAGGCTCCATCTCCACTCATGTTCACAGCCTCCCTGTCACAGCGGATGTGACAGTTCTCAGATTACAGATGAGGAAACTGAGGCCCTGGGAAGTAAATGACTGCTTCAAAGCCACAAGCTAGTGAAGTGTGGGTAGGCGGGGACTCGAACCCCAGCACTTTCTGCCACACCCACGGCCCCTCAGGGTGTCCCCTGTGGGAGATGCATCACATACCTTCCTGAGGTGAGCACACCCGCGTTTCCACTCCACAGCCTCCTCTGCTGTCTGTGTGACACATACCACTCACGCACACCCTGTCCTCTTTGCCTCCTACAAATGTTTCAACTTTTAAAATTACATGGATTTTAAATACTTGTGTTTGGAGGGATACTAAAAAATATCTACATCTCCCTTTCTCCTCCTTTTCTAAAAGTAGGGTCCCTGGCAAGATGCTGGCCATGCCCAGGCAGAGGCTACCATGCAGGCCTCTCTGGTTTTGTGCCAGGAAAGTCCTCACCCACCTCAGGAGCCTCAGGCTCAGGCGGGTGGGTGGGGTCCTCCCTGCCAACTCCTACCCCGTCACAGCCAGCAACCAGCACAGGACCATGCAAGTCCCTCTGCTGGCCCCCACCTGGGGGCAGCCTTGCTCTCAGACCCAGACTTGGCCTGGGGCATCCCACACTGGCTCTGGACATGAGGACAGGATGCGGGGACAGCAGGTGCTCCGCCCTTTGGGCATGTGGCCACCCAGGCTGGTTCTGCCTAGCACAACTTGTTTTCCTAATGTCCCAGTTTCAGCCTCCTTTTCTGCAACCCAGGCCAAATGGTCCACCCCCAGATTTCTATCCCCTGCTCTTGGGGCTTGGCTGGACAATGGCTGGGCCTGCTGGGGGCTGACGTGAGCCAGAAGACTGTGAAGGCAGGAGACGGAGGGGCGTCAGTCGCGTCTCAGGATGCGTGCTGTCTCATGCAACTAGGCCCCTGCCGCCGTCAGACCATCCTCCATTGCGGCAGCCTCGGGAACAGAGAGCACAAGGCTGCCCATCTCCTGGCTTCCTCGGAGAACAGGCTGCCCTTGGCTACCCCACAGCCTGCTCCCTGCCCTGTGCCAACCAGGCAGCAAGAACTAGCCAAAGGGCAGGAGAAACCACTGAGCCAAGTGCAGAACACTTGGGCCCCTCCTGGCTAGCTGGGCCATGCTTAGTCTGATATAAATTAGAAGTAACGCCCACCATTTGTACAATTTTCTGCAGGGAGAGGGGTTCAGAGTGCAAAACATCGTGAGCAAAGAAGATCCCCATCTAATTGGGAAGACAAGGGCCATCCAAGGCAGAATTCCTTGTGAAGAGACAGCTGTGCTCATGGGCAAGGAGGGTCCACCCACCAGCACCACCCACTGAACTGTGGGTGGCGTTTCAGAAGTGAGAGAGGCAGTCCTGCCCCAAGAAACACCAGATCGCAATGCAGTGCAATCCATGTCCAAGGCAGGTGCAAGCAAGGTTTTGGGGGATACAGGAGTTGGCTTCCAGACTAGGGAGGCTGCCAGTGGCCCACCCCTGGCCCACCAGGGTCTTGTGCTGGCTGGGCCTGATTTAAACCCAGCTTCCAACCCGCCCCAACGCTCAACATGCTCAGCCCAGGTTCAACAGCTCGCCCTCCTTTCTCCCTGATCCAATGACAAGTCTGCGTGTTTAAGCTTCCTTCTGGGCTTTTCTATTTATGTTGTCATTGATTACTTTGCTCCTAACTCATCTGATTTCAATTTGGACTGATTTGATCCTAATTTTATTACCATGTAATCTGAATGCACATAATTACTGTAATTATGCTGTAGAGGGAAACAGCTCCTCTGTGGTGGGAAGACCTAAATTTAGGGCTTCCTGGCAAGGGTGCCATTGGCTGGGTGGACCACAGCTCCCTTGGAGCTGGCAGCCTTCGGGAGCACAGATGCCCTCCCCCGCCCCACCCTCAGAGACATGAGTATTCTGGGCTTCATTGCAGGGACGTTTGAGGCCCCTCTCAGAAGCCCTGGAACAAACAGGGGTCTGAACTGGTGGTCAGGAGCCCACTCGCTCTGCACCCTTCAGCTCCTGCTAAATCTCTGCCACCCATATCCAAGTGCTTGCTCATCAGGGCACCCTAACTCTAGGGAACAAGATGTCAACAGCCTTCCCCAAAAGATCTGGGGAGCATGAGGGTTCCCTGATAATCACAGGGCCAGGGGAAGCAAATTGTGGTGGAAGGCCTTGCTGCTGGCCGGGATCCTCCTACCCTCCAAGTCCTATTCAAGGCCGCTTCCTCCATGAAGCCTCCCTAGCCCATCCAGCCCTCGCCAGACTTTATGTCATTTATGTCAACGCCCAAGGAAGAGACTGTTATTGTTTCCATTTTATGGATGAGAAAATGGAGAGGCACAGCAAGGTTACGTGCCTTACTCAAGAGCACCCAATGGGTGGGCAGCAAAAACTCTTGACCACCTCACCATTCTGTGCCTTCTAAAAGCCTAAAACCCATTACAGGGTGGTTCTGATGTCATTCTCCCCACAGTGCGGCCCAGCATCAGCATTTCAGACACAAGAATCTGAGCACCGGAAAGTAAAAGGGCAAGGGCTGCCTTGTCCCCTCACCCCTGCTGTCCACCCTCCTTGCAGCAGAGAGAAAGCAGAGCTCATGGGGATGGTGAGGTGGGGACCCGAGGGAGGGCCAAGGCCAGTTTCCTGTACTGGAACAGTGTTAGGATGTGGAATTCACAGGGAGCTTATCACCTCCTTTTGCAAGGCCAGTGATTTGTCTGCTGGATGCTCAAGGAGGGGAGAGTGGCAGGAGGAGGCTGTTGTCCGGGGTGCTAATTATTGGCACCTGCGGGAGGCCCATGGCGGCTGGCCCCGGCTGTCTCTGAACAAACTGGATCCATGACGGTGAGGGGGTGGGTTGGGGGGTGTCAGGACTACCAGAAGTCAGGGATGGCCGTGCCCAGGCAGAGCACCCATTTTGGCCGACCCTGGGCCCGGAGAACAGATGAAGGAACTGGGGACACTTATTCTGAAAGGGAGGAGAGGTGGGACTGGAGCCAGCATGTGGGAGGAATGAGACACTTGCTCTGTCACTCAGAGGGTAGAAACAGGACCACCCCTGACATCAGGAGGCTAAATGGGACTTACGAATGCCAAGAGCGTCTGGAAGTGAGCTCCCAGAGAGAGCAGACATCCTCGCAGAGGCACCCCACCCTGGGCCAGCGGCCCTGGCCCTAGAGACAAGCAGCCCTGGACTGGGGCTCCAGGCTCCTGGCCCTGTACTCTCCCACTGCTCCAAGCTGCTAATGCCCTGGTTTCCAGGAGATTGTGGTAAAGGCCACCAGCTGGGGAGAGGGCACCCCTTGAGCTGCAGCCTCCTAGCAGCTGAGCTGCTTCAGCAGAGGGCAGAGAGCAGGCAGCAGAGCCCAGGCTGGGCCCAAGGGCTGGAGCCGAGGAAGGAGAGCAGCTGCAGAGGGGCTGCCGTCCCCTCTGCCAAGGGCTAGGACTGACTCTGATCCTCAGCATCACATACGCCCTTTCATGCTGGATGTGAGGTCATCCAAGGCTTCTAAACTGACAAGTGGATCCAGGCAACTCCAGGGTCTCGCCCATCACCCCCACTGCTGGGCAGGTTGGGGGGCACCTCTTCTTTCCCTCCACTGGATCTTGACCACATTTCAAGGCTCAACCGCAAACAAAACCCCATCCTGAGGAGGGGACTGCTGTCGAAGCCTGAAGCTCGTGGGTCCTCACGCGTCTTCCTCCAGCTCCACACCCTCCCTTCCATGCCAAGGGACCTGGGCCCTGCCTGCCCGGGACCCAAGCTCACTTACCCAGTGAAGGGGCCCGATGCAGACCTTGGCAGCCATCAGGGGCACAGTGGGGTCCGAGGGCCGCAGCTTCATACACTCTCGTAGCAGGGACACAGCGTAGGCTGACTGCAGGAGCAAGAGCAGGGGACATCATCACTGGCCAAATGGGTCTCCACAGATAGGGTGTCTCCCACCCCAGACAACCAGTACCTCCTTTCCTCCCAAGAGCCAGGCAGAGGGTCCAGAGGGGGGCCTGGTGGTGCTGCTGCCAGGCAAGTCCCTGGGCCTTAGTTTCCTCATCTGAAAAATGGAGGTGAGGACGACCTTGCCCTTGGGGGACAAGAGCTAACATGACAACAGATGGAAACACAGCAAAAGGAATTCAAATCTGAACCCCAGAAATTTCAGAGGTAGCAAAGGGCTTCCTAAATGGGCAGTTGGAAGAAGGGTGGGTGGCATGATTAGGGAGACACAGAGGCTGGCAGGAAGAAGGGGAGAAGCCAAGCCAACAGGGCTGGAGACAACTTTCAGGCAGGAATCTGGGATTCCCCAGGGATCCAGGGATGCAGCCTGGACCTGCTGACGGTGGCCACATGTGGAGGGAGGGCCAGGAGGGGACAGCAGGATGTTACCAATAGAAACAGCAGCTAATACTTCTCCAGATCTTACTCTGGGCCAGGCATTGTCAGGGCTCAGAAGTCACAGCCCACAGGCCAACTCTGGCCCCTCTGCCTATTTTTGTAAGTAAAGTTGAATTGGAACTCAGTCATGCCTGCGCATTATGTACTGTGTGTGTGGCTATTTGCATAATACAATGGCAAAATGAGATACTTGTGAGAGATTGGCCTGCGAAGTAAAAAATGGCCCTACCTGACCCTTTACAGAAAAAGTTTGCTGACACCCTTTTTTATGTGCTTTATACATATGAAGCCATTTAATTTTCACAATAGTCCTATGAGGCAAGAACTATGACCAATTGTCAAAAGTGAAATGCTGAGACGGTAAAGAGCTTGATTCAAGCCACACAGCCTGTGACTGAGCTGGGATTTACACACAGTCTGGCTCCAAATTCTCTTTATTTTTTTTTGGGGGGGGGGGGGTACTGGGGATTGTACTCAGGAGCACTCGATCATTAAGCCACATCCCCAGCCCTATTCTGTATTTTGTTTAGAGACAGGGTCTCACTGAGTTGCCCAGCACCTTGCCATTGCTGAGGCTGGCTTTGAACTTGCAATCCTCCTGCCTCAGCCTCCTGAGCCGCTGGGATTACAGGTGTGCACTACCGCACCTGGCAAGAAGATTGGCTCTAAATTCTCTTAACTACTACCTCATGCAGGTTCTATGGTGATGACCTCAGACGACTCAGATGGCCACTACAGACCAGAGAGGAAGCCTGCTTCCCTAATATACAATCTCTCTCTCCCCTTCAGAGCTGGAACTTTCTGAGTCCAACACTTCTCCAGGGAGCTCAGCAGTTACCCTCCTGGTGTGTACACCCCTGTACCTATGTGACCTCAGGTAGGTGGTGCCTGTGTGGGTGACAAGGACAATTCCCATATGCTGGGGCCAAGTACGACTGTGGCCAAGCTATCCACTGTTACTTAGCTTTTCTCCATTCCAAGCAACTCTGGGGATGCCACTGAAGAAAGTGTTCTGGGAGACTGACCTGCTCAGAGCACAGTGTGGCCGACTAGCAGATGCCTAGCTGGGTCCAAACTGGCCTTGCTCACCCCAGACCCCCCACCTCCCACCACTTAACAAAGGAAGAGCTTTTCTCCGCTCAGCTGTCACAGATTTCCCTGGGCTCTGGCTTAAGTGCTATGGCTTGGATATGGCAGGAGTGTGTTCCTAAAGGGCTTATGTGCTGGAGGGATTGGGTCCTTCAGGTGGCGGCACTGAGATGGTGGGACCTTTAAGAGGTGGGGCTGAGTAGGAGTGGCTAGGGCCTTGGGGCCACACCCTCAGAAGGATGGAGGTAGTTTTCTAGAATCCTAGTTAGTTCTCAGGAGAAGGTAGTTATAAAAAGAGCAAGGCTGGTCCCTCCCCTCTGTCAAGCTTCCTGTCTTGCCATGTGATTTTTCCCACATACACACATTCCTGCCATGATGATAATCTACTATGAGGTCCTTACCAGAGCTGAGCCTATGCTGGCTTCATGTCCTTGAGCTCCAAAATGAAGAGCTAAAAAAACCTCCTTTGTTTTCATTTTTACCAGCCTCAGGTATTTCACTACAGTAACAGAAAACAGATTCATACACTCAGACTTTTAGGGTCAATTGCAGTGCCTTTGTTGAGGGCCTACCTTGGGTCCAGTGCTAGGCTAGGGGTTGTGGAGTCACTGTGAGAAGGGATACAAATGGCTCTTGCCTCTAATGAGCTCACAAAAAGGCAGAGGGAGGGCAAGAAGAAAAATGCTACCCTCCACTATTGGTCTCTCAGAGACAAGAGTGTAGGAGGCCAAGCTCAAGAAGGTACTGACAAATGACTGGCTCCAGCAGACTGGGAACCAGTGTGGGCTGCAGCAAGGGAGGCGGTGGGAGGGGCTTGAAGGAGCTTCAGGCCCCACCTCCTCTGCAAGACCCTCTCCTAGGAATGCCACTCCAAGCCCCTTACCAAGGTCCCTTCTGCCTCCAGCCTCACCCGTGCGCCAGGCCAGCCTCAGGCTGCTGCTCAGCCTCCTCTGGGTGGCTGACCTTTGGGTCTTTGAAATGGAGGACTCTCTAACACTGACCCTCCACATTCCACCCCACCCCTTCTCACCCCACCCCCACGCAGACCAGAAAACGCTGCTATTTAAGGAGCCATTCGAGGCTGCAGCCGCTCTTGGCTCTTTTTCTTTCTTTCTTTTTTTTGTCATGCTGGTTACCTAGCAACGCAGCCAATGCAATTGCCGCATGGAGACCCAGAGAAGGAACGACCTAAATCATGCCACGCAACTCATCTGTTATTCCTGCGGGTTCAAATGCCAGGTATATTTATATCTGCCCAGTCTCACCTCCTGGAAGGTACAGAACCTGGATTCCCCCCTGGGGCCCTTGGCAAAGGCAAGTTCGGGTCACTCCTCTGAAAGCTGCCTGGGACAGTTGGGCTGACTGATTTGGTATCCAGGATTCCCAAGGGGGTAGAGAATGCCTTCCAGAACAATCTCCCGCTGCCCTGAGTGATGGGTGGGGACAGCTTCGTGTCTCTAGCCAGTGGAGTCTCCCTCATGAGGAGATAACTGGTCACCCCAAGTCCCCGCCTGTAAGCTCATTCCTTCCTGTGCCCACCTGCTGGTTCATGAAGGGGCCGGGCTGGGAAAACGGCTCTGGGTCCTGGGAGGGTGCCAGGCTGTGTCTGGACCTCCCTGTGCCCAGCTGCTTCTCCAGAGGAAGGTAGGAAGCCCCTTACCTCCAAGGCCATCATGAAACTTTCCCTGAGCCTGGGGGACCTCCAGAGCCCCTCAGACACAGGGCTCATCTTTCCAGTCCCCCTACCTCGACTCATGTGGCTGTGACTTGTCTGTGCTCTGAATACTTCCTGCTAAGCCACAGCCAAGAGATCACGTGACTTCAAGATGCTCTGGCCCCTGTGGGGAGGGCTAGGAGGATGACATCCAGCACTGACCTGGGCTGTGCCTCCAGCCTCACCCCGTGCGCCAGGCCGTGGCTCCTGGTCTCCTTCCCCCTCCCTGCCAGGTCCTGGCGGCCTCTCTCCTGAGGCCCAGAGATGCCTGGCACCCCTCCATTGGTGGAGGCGGTGCTGGCACGCTGGGAGGGCCCTCCTCGGAGACAGCCACGGGGCTAGAAATGGAACACGGCACAGATGGGGCGGGGGGCGAGGGATTCCCTCAGCCCCATGAAAGGGCTCTGGGTATTTAGAGCTCCTGGAACCATCTGCGACTCATGCCACCTTACTTCCTGCATTTGTAGCATCCTCAGCCCCAACACCCTCAGCACCCATCTCCGGAAAGGTTTTCCTTTCATGTCACTGCTTAAAATAGAAGCTTATATAAGTGTAATTCTGATCGGAAGAAAAATGAGGAGTGCTGGCACGGGGGCTGGGTGCACGGGGGGCCGAGTGTCCGCCCCAGTGCCCCTTGCTCCGGGCAGCCTCTCCCCGCCCACCAGCTCTCCTGGCCACATGGACCACACACTTCTCCCTCGGGGCTCCCTATGGGGCCCTGCTCCACTCACCCTCCCATCTTTTCTCCTAGGCAAGTTCCCAACTCGCAGGCAGGCCCTTTCCTGATGCCTCGCCCAGTGGGCTGGAACGGTTCCCCTCACCTGGAGCCACACCCCACGCCCATCCCACACAGTCATGCCCAAGTCACCAGCACAAGTGCCGCGATGCCCCCACACACCACACTCAGAAAAGCAGCCGACTCACACCTGCATGCAGAGGAGGCACACTGTGACTTGCAGGTGGATGTGGGAGTCACTCAGGGCCCTTATCTGTCCTCCCCACCCACACTCCTGGAGATTCAGACAGTTGCTGGAGAACAGTTCCCAACCACCCACCTCCTCCCTGTGCACCTGGCTCCAGAGAAGCTCCCCAGCTCTCCACCTCTGGCAGGGACCAGAGGAACACAGAGCTCCTGTGCAGTGCCCAGCATCCCTGGGCCTTACCTTCCCACAAGCCACCATGGAGAGGGCCACTTGGTACCAAAGGTGAAATTCTCCAAACGCAAACTTCATGGCTCGTTCCAGGCACTGGGGAGGGGGAGATGGTCAGCATTTCTCCATCACTGTCCTCTCCCCTTTCCACCCACTTCCAGGGTAACCACTACTCAAGGTCACTGCCTTTGGGAGGCTGCAGGAGGCCTGTACTTGGTTCCTGTAGGAAAGCCAGGGGAAACTGGCATGCTATGTGACCCTACAAAGTATCTCAACCTCTCTGGTCCTTGGTTCCCATTTCCATAACCTGTGAATGATTTCACAGGGCCATGATGAAGAGCAAATAAAATAAAATTTGCAAAAAATGCCTTCAAAATGTATACATTCAATAAAAATAACAGCTGTTTTTATTATGTATGACAGTATTCATATCTTTTTACATGCAGGAACTCATTTATTCTCCCCAACAACCCCCATTTCACAGATGAGGAAGCTGGGGTTGATAGGACTTGCCAAGGTCACAGGGCTAAAAAAGGCACAGCAGCCTGGCAGGAGAGTGACAAGTGGGGGTGGGGTGGATATAAACAGTGGCATCATCAGATTTCCTGATGTACTGTCTGACTCCGGGAGTGCAGTGGGCTGCATGGCTACCTCAGAGAGCATGTCGTACTGCCCCCTCCTGCCCAGCGTGATGCTCAGGAGGTCATAGATGGCCGCAGCATTCCGTAGGCTCACCAACCGGTCCTCTGCCTGCTCAGGGGCCCGGCTCAGCACCACGTCCCGAGTTGCCTGTGGATGGAATGTGGTTTGGGAATGAGTAAGGACAGAAGATAAGCAGGTGCTTGTCCCCACAGGGTCCCCACCTTGCAGGCCCAAGCACCATCACCTTTTGTCACCACCCCAGGCCAAGCAAATAGCCATACTCCCAGAAGCGACCTTGTCCCCACTCCCATGAAGGGGTCCAAAGATAGAGAAATGCCACCTTAGTCCCAGGTGGGACTGGGATGCAATCTGCAGTTCTGCAAAAATTCAAACCTATAGCCAGGCGCGATGGCACATGCCTGTAATCCCGCAGCTCAGGAGGCTGAGGCAGGTGGATCGCAAGTTCAAAGCCAGCCTCAGTAAATTAGCAAGAAAAAGCACTGTGGCGAGACCCTGTCTCTGAATAACAAGTAAAATGGGTTGGGGATATATCAGTGGTTAAGCGCCCCTGGGTATAATCCCCAGTATAAAAAAAAAAAAAAAGTGCCACAACCATACAGCTGTCATCTCAATGCACCCATTGTTACACTTAGCCACTGTCCTTTGTACGAGTTTACTTCTTCTCAATTCAGGATCCAGTCCTGGACCATGCCCAGGTGCCATGCCCATTAGCCTCCTTTCATCTGGAAGAGTCCCTCAGCCTCTCTTTCACGGCACTGGCGTTGATGAGTATGGAGCCTAGAATTTGCAATTCTCCCCAATCATAGCATGAGCTTCAGATAACATGGGGACCACCCAGTTTGGGTGTGGGAGCTCTGCTGCTCCCCCTCCTGGGAGGAGAGTTAGGGGCTGTGGCCCCTCAATATCATCTTCTCCCCTCTCCAACCCCACCTCTTCCTATCTCTCCTGTGTCTAGTCCAGAAGACCCCTGGCTCCTCTCGTCCCACCCCAGAGTGAGCTTCCCCACACCAAGGGCTCTGCTGCTGGCCTCCAGCCTGCAGATTTCAGTGGCTCCTGGCATTGCCAGATGGCTGCCCAGGAGGGGAGGAGGGAAAGTGTGTTTTGAATCCGTGGTTCAGTGAATTCAGAAGGCATTCCTTGTCACCAGGCCTGAAACCCCATCAAGGAGGGGGGATTCTTCTTCTGTGGTCTCGGGCATGTGGTCCCACATCCTGCCCACCTCCATACCCAGGCGCAGACGAGAGGGTGGAAAGGGAGCAGCTAAACAGTCACAGTCACTGGGGGCTCTGAGCAGCAACAGGGCACGGACTTAGGCTGAGGACATTCTGGGGTCTGAAATGACGTCCACCCCACGTGTCCCCCACCACAGACACATGCATGCAAAGCTGAGCTCTGGCCAGAAGCTCCTGCAGGCTGCTCCCAGCCTTCTTCGCTGGCCCTCTCCTCTATGCCAAAGGGATCTCTGTCCTGTCCAGCATCTCCCTCCCATTGTCTGCCCCCCACCCCCACCTCAAGAACAAGGATTCACCTTCCTGACAGAACAGGAAGGAGCTCCAGGCCCCGAAACCTCCTCCGGGGGCCTCCCTCATCAGATCCACAGGGCCCTCCCACCCCCAGGTGGTCCTGCCTCTCACTCCTTCAGATCCAGAGCTGAGGCTCCCAGGAGCAAGTGGCTGGGGAGACAGAAACCCCATGGCCTGCTGGTTCCGGCCATGACTGGCATGCTGGGCTGAAGTGTGCTCTCCTGGAGGCCCCTGGAAGCCAACATAAGTCCCAGCCCCAAGGAGGCAGCTCATTCACCGGGGCATTTCCAGCAGGGGGACAGACAAGTGCCTAGGGGTGCTGACAGCTGCCCGTCAAGCCAAATTCAGTGAGAGTTGTCCATTTCCCCAGGGACATGGGGCCCAGCAGAAAATGCCTAGGAGAGTATGGAATGCCAGGAATTCCCCAGACAGGCTGGTCACTGGAGCCAGCCCGGTTAATAAGAACTGATCAGGAGATAGGGTGGGGAAGGAAAGGGCCAAGAAACCCCCTCCCTCCCTGTGACACCACAACGCAGCCACCAACAAGGATTCTGGGAGAGGTTTTCCAGGAGCTAAAAAGAAACACAGCCCTCCTCTCACCCCCAGCAATGGACCTCCCGCTCCTCCTCCAGCAGTTCCTCTCACAGCTGGGGCGGAGCCCAGGGAGGGGGCCTCTACAGGGGCGGGGCGGGGGGGGGGAAGGCAATGAGAAGATGGGGAACAGACGGTGCCCTAGGGAGACCCAGGGAGGGGGCTACCGCGTGCACATACTGAGTGCAACCTGACCAGAATTTTGGTGGGATGGAGAAGTCAGGATGGAAGGGGAGAGGCTGGGTGGCTTTTTGCTTTTCTTTCTCTTTTTTTAGTACAGGGGATTGAACCCAGGGGCCTCAACCACCGCTCAATCACCGAGCCACATCCCCAGTCCTCTTTTGTACTTTTATTTAGAGACAGGGTCTCAGTAAGTTACTGAGAGCCTCACTAAGCTGCTGAAGCTGCCTTGGAACTTGTGTTCCTCCTGCCTCACCCTCCTGAGCTGCTGGGATTACAGGGTTGTGCCACTGTGCCTGGCTTTGCTTTTCTTGTTTTGTTTTTTCGTTTTATCCCCAGCACTAGGGGTTGAACCTGGGGCCTAGTACATGCCAGGTAAGTACTCTACCACTGAGCTACATCCCCAGCCCCACCCCCTATTTTTCATTTTCTTTTGAGACAGGGTTTTACTAAGTTGCTGAAGCTGGTCTTGAACTTGTGACCCTCCTGCCTCAGTGTCTTGAGGAGCTGGGATTACAGGCACCATGACTGTGTCTGATTAGGGGTGGCTTTTTTTGGTGGGTGGGGGGTGTGAAGCCTGGCTGGGAACATCCAGAGCCTATGCATCCGCCTCTGCAGATCTGCCATGTCCAGGGGACTGTGAGCAGCCAGCTACCACTCTGCCCTTCCGTGACTGCTCACCCAGCAGCTCCTCTTCAGCCACAGGAAGCTCCTTGAAGCTCCCTGTCGTCACTAAGGCCCTAATTTAGTCACGCTGCAGTTCCCTGTCAACTGGAACGCCTTCTGGTTCCTCACAACGCCATCAAGGTGGCCCCTTCCTGCAGTCAATGCATCTCGCCGCGGAAGCCAGGGCTCCCACCCTCACCAGCACAGGGGTGAGCCCTGTGCATCCCTGACTGGTTCATCAGTCCTTGTGACATGGCTGTGTCATCTCGAGTCTGAGCCCTTAGCACAGCCTCCGACACAGAACCTCACTAATATACCTTCGTAGTAGAGTGAGCAACTCCCCAGGGAGGAAGATTCAAACCCCACCCACCCTAGACCTTGGCCTAGAGGAGAACAGGCCGCTGAGGGCGCGCTGCTGGAGGGAGGGGTGGATTTGCAGAACTGGGCATTAATTAGGTCAGACTAATAGGAACAGAAAAGAGGAGGAGTACAGCAGAGCAAATCCTCCTCCTGGTTTCTGGGGCCAGTAGGGAAGGCAGGCTCTTGGGAGTCCTCAGATCTTACGCAAACCAGCACCTGTGCCAAGAGGGAAGCGTGCTTCCCCAGGGGACAGCCAGAAGCAGAGGTTTGCCAGGAGGTTACTATGGCTTTGGGGCAGGGCTGCCTTGAAACACTGTGGTTGCCAGGCAGCGCCTGTGTATGTAACCATGGTAACAGGGTGGGGTGGGGGAAACTGGCAGAAAGGAGGAAGTTGTGGGGGCTGATGGGTGAAGCCACCAAGGAGTAGGAATTCATGTGCAGCTCAGCAGCCCGGAGCAAGACTCAGCTGCCAGGGCCTCAGAGTCCCTAGTTGTCCCACTTCCTCCTCCCTCGGCTCACTGCCCTTAAGCCACACAGACCTCAGGCTTCAGCAACAGCCTGCACAGAATGCGTGCCCGCCTCCTCCTGCGGTTCTTCCCTTCCACCATTTATTCACAAGGCCTCAGATTCCGGCTTGCACTGGGAGATCCTCCAGATCAAACGCAGTCACGCATGAGTGCGCCTGGCACCCTTAAAGTAATACATGGCCACTCAACTGCCTTCCCACCACCTTCCTCCATATGGCTCTCGGGGTTTCTCCCTGCCTCCTCCCCTACCTGGCACTGACTGCCTCGACCTCGGGGCCCAGACCCAGGCTCCCTGTCTCTGGGAATGCTCTAGTTTAATCTGTGCAGTTAACCCCAGGCAGGGCTTCCACGGATGTCCCTGCCCCTAGCCTTTGTCCCTTTGACAGGACTCCCAGGGAAGAACTCTCTCCTACAGCTTCTGGTGGCCCCAGGAGGGAAAGCCAATGCTCCTCCCCAGAAACCCCTTGCTCCAATAGCTTACACTGCCACCTGGATGCACATCTGCTCTTTGGACAAGTATCCATGGGACAAATATGGGAATCTCCATTTCCCCAGGCCAGCCCACCTGAAACCTAAGGCATATGCCACTCAAGTTCAGACAGCGGTCCCTAGGCTTGTGTTAGGTGTTACTCTATTAGAAGCTGAATTCTCATGCCCATCATCATATCTGGCCTCACAGTAATTCCATGAAAGGGTTAGCAATAAAGCCACAGGTCCCCTATTCCCAGGTGAGGACGCTGAGTTCCAATCTCTGATGGCCAATCCAAGACCTGCTACTTACCTGAGCCCTAGCTGCCCCTTGCTCTTCCATCTGTTCCTTCTGACCTGGCAAGGTGTAAGCTCAGTTCCTACCCTCTGCTGGCTGCAGGGCTCAGACGACACTGACCTTCACCTCTGCCCAGCTCTGTTTCTCCTCTCTAATCCTAGACTGAGACAGGGCTCCAGTCTAAGAGAAGGACAGGAGAAAACCTTCTAAATGTCATCCTATCATTCTCAAAACAACCAATGCACACAAATAGGTAGTGGTGACCCAGATTAGAACTCAGACATTCCCTGCCACTAGGTGTCTCTGGGGCAGTGTCCAATAGCTTCACTCATGTCACCAGGCTGGCTCTGCTTAAGAAAGCACAAAAGCAAGGCTGAGAAGGTAGCTCCGTGTAGCACGCTTGCCTGGCCTGTGCAAGGCCCCAGATTCTTCACCAGTATTCGGGGAGCGTGGGGAGAAAGAATGAAAGCAAAACACAGGCGGGCAAGGCGCCAGTCAGGCCTCAGGCGCTGC